TGGCCAGGCCACACACACACCCAGCTCCCCAAGGGCAAACAAACTCTTGATGCAGCACGTGACGGGATCCTGATTTAGAGCAGGGGTGAAATCCAGCAGGTTCTGACAGGTTCTGGAGAACCAATAGCGGAAATTTTGAGTAGTTTGGAGAACCGGCAAATACAACCTCTGGCTGGCCCCAGAGTGAGGTGGGAATAGAGATTTTGCAATATCCTTCCCCTGCCACGCCCACCAAGCTACACCACGCCCACCAAGCCATGCCCACAGAACCGGTAGTAAAAAAAATTGAATTTCACCACTGATTTAGAATCTATAAAAAAGGGTTACCAAAAAGTAGGTGGTCTTGCAATCATGACTGAAAACACTTACATTGTTAATTCACAAACTCAAACAAATACACAGATACTAATTTCCACTTGACTCTGGGATAGTATATAGATTTATTCCCTAACAGTTTTGCTGAGTTCAGCATGTCTTTGATTGCAGTCACCTATTTATTTCAGCTCAGATTGTGATGGTATAAAAGAACCTGGGGAATTTGCTGTGCACTTGAGCTCTTGAAAAGAGCTTTGCTGACTGTTTCCAGCTGAGGAAGAGGACTTCCTGTCTTGTTTTTCAGCACAAAAGGCTTGGCTTGGCCTCCTATTGAAGATCCAGGCTCTTTAGACCTCTGTTCACATCTGACCTGGCTTTTGTGATCATTCCTATTGCCACTTTTGAACAATGATAATAGGACACCCTAGGCCAGAGGTGTCAAACTCGATTTCATTGAGGGCCGCATCAGGGTTGTGGTTGACCTTGGGGGCCAGGGTTGGTGTGGCCAGCTCAGGCGTGGCCAGCTTGACATCACTCATCAAGGCTCCGTTTTTGGCAACGACAGTCTCCTGCAGCCCTCTGCCAGTGAAAATGGAGCCCGGGGAGGCCATGCACGGCCCTCCCAGGCTCCATTTTCATTGGCAGAAGGCTGCAAGAGGCTGTCACAGCCAAAAATGGAGCCCAGGCGGGCTGCATGCAACCTCCCTAAGCTCCATTTTCATTGGCAGAGGGCTGCAGGAGGCTGTCGCGACCGAAAATGGAGTGTGTGGCCCTCCCAAGCTCTATTTTTGCTGTCAGAGGCACTGCAGGCCGATCCTTCACTGTTTCCAGGGTAGGCCCGCGGGCTAGATCTAAGCACCACACAGGCCGGATCTGTCCCCCAGGGGCCTTGTGTTTGACATCCTGCCCTAGGTTGTCTCAAAGCCTCTCTGGATTTGACCTCAGAGGATTGGATAAGGGTGCCTCTTGAAGTCATCTAGAAACTTTCCCTTCCCTTGAAGTGGAGGGAAGAAGGAGAAATGTTCATGCCCTTTGTGGCTCATTTGCTCTTCTATTGTGAAGATGATTTCATGTCCCTGTTCAGTGTGAAAAGAATAAATGAAACACTTTTTGAGTGTTTTTTTTCCTTTTGTAAGATGGACATTCTAAATTTGAAGTGAGACAAAGAAATGGCTGGTTACTTTCATTCCCCTTTCATTCCCCTTGTTCCAGAGGTGGGTTTCAGCAGGTTTTACAGTATCCTTCTGCCACCTCCACCAAGCCCACGCCCACCAAGCAACACCCACAGAACCAGTAGTAAAAAAATTTAAAACCCACCACTGCCTTGTTCCTATGTTTACCATCAGTGGGGACATGTTGGACGTAAATAAAATCCAAGTATTCCAGAAATCCAAGCAGATAGTAGAAAGCTGTTTTGCAAAAGTGGGACTCTCAACTGATTTTTTTTGACATTTTCAACTGAAAAGCATGAAAAACATTATCCTTCCTGTCTAACATACTTATTTCAGACTTTATTGAGCCTGTCAGCCTCAACATAATACCCTCCATATGGTTGGATTATAATTCTTAAAACCCACAGTTATTGCTTTACCAGCTCGCTGGCTGTGGATGAGGAATATTACAGAGCAACACATTTCCAGGACACGACATTAAAAAAATTTAATTTTAATTTTAATGACATTTTTAAAAAAGAAAAAAAAATGACTGATTTTCCTAAGAGGAAGTGGAATTAGTAGTAAAATAACAGGAGTGAAAGCTTAAATTACATTTGTTAGGATTTTCCAGACGGAGGAATGAAAAAAAGTGCTCTTTTCTCTTGTCCATGAGCCTGTGCTTAGCACAATTATTAAGCTAAGAGAAGAGATAGCAAAACATTTCAAATTCAGTACAACAGTACAAATTCAGTACAAAGAGATAGCAAAACATTCTAATTCAGTACAAGTGGAAATGAAAATGTGGGCATTAAACACTTACGAGATGCTTCCTCTCTGATTTCTGTTTTGTGCTCTTTTTTTAGCAGACTCGCATCAGTGTAGACTTTGTTATTTTATGCATTATCAGCCATTTGCTGTCCCAGACTATCAACTACTACTGATTTACATTTTTGAGAACTAGACTGAAAAATGCATGTGCTTCTAGAGGGTTTGTAACTTGGGTAATTATCTACATGAATGGTTGAATTAGTTATGCAAATTCATTATAACTATTTGGCACCATTACCTTGCTGCATGAAGTATAAATCTTTTGCGGAATCAGATAGACTAACTAGATTGATCAATGGTAAAAAAGATTCAGAATTTTATAACAGTTGGAAAGTATGGTACGATTGGGTCCAGAAAAGGTGGGATAGAATAGACATATGATGATGTATATATATGATGGCAAATATGTATGTATAAAGGAATGATTTTATACTTATGGACAATGTAATCATATTATACCATGGTGGCAGGATTGTATATTTTATTTGTGTATTAGTGTATAGAATATATTAATAAAAATTATATATTTAAAAAGTATAAATCTTTTTTTTCTTTGCTGGATTAAAAACTAATATTGTATTAGATAAAATGTACAAATATTCTTGCCTCACAGACAGATTACCACAGTAGTTTAGGGAAGTGATTCAGGTAACTTTTCATGTTATTTTTTTAGACAAATGGAACTTGCACAGAGCTTCAACTTCCACATGTGTTTTCTTGCAATGTACAGATTTTTAGGAAGGGTATGTATGGTGCCCATATGTAGCATTGCTTCTTAGTCCCTAAACACACAAAAATAACTTGAAGAGGAACCCACAGTTCTCTTCAAATGTGCTAAGTCTAACCACAGAAAAAAAAACCAGCAGTAATCCCACAAGTTGTCTTCAGTACTGCAGCTATAACAAAGGTCTTCTCACTGCTATACCATGCAAAAGAGAAATAAAGCAATTTGCTTGTGTAGACACAAACACAGGTCCATGTTTTTACTTGATGTTGCTGTGCGTTTGTCTGACTATATGCAAAAAAATAAATCTGGGAAGCAATGGCGTCTTTCAGAAACCATGACAATGTCAAAATAATGAGATATGCCATCATGCCATTACTTAATTGGCATTATTACATAATGATGTCATGACACTTGATGCAAATATGTAAGTTGCATTATTTGTATTATGATGTAATGATCATGTTTCACCCTTCCCCAACATGCAAAACACTATAAGATAAAGTAGAACTTTCTGCAAATGGGAAACTGAGCTTTACATAAGCTCTAGTGTTGCAGTGATTTAAAGAAAGGCTACTTTTACTGCATTTTCAAATACGTGAGCCAGAAATACATCATGTTCATATTTTAAGACAGACATGTGAAGTCAGAAATCTGGAGATGCTTTCAAAGTGAATTTTTCTGCAGAAATGATGTAATATTTTGAATTATCTTGCATAATATTTCAGGCTTCCACTTTTTCTACAACCGTATCTAATTGATTTTGGCTAGTTTTCTATCAATGGATAAAAGGAAAGAATATTGGAAGACACTAATTCTGTTCGTTAGATTTTATCTATTCAAAAGTCTTGTTTTCCATTTGCCTTTAGGTGTCATCAGTATATTTTCAAATATGTTTCTGTGCAAATTGCAGTCAAATGGGCTAGAAATTGACTTAAAATGACAAAGAGCTAAGATCTTTCAAATCAAAACACAGCAATTTTGTAGAAATCAGAAAGGTACATGATGTAGGTAAAATTTCCGTGAACCAGAGAGACATATTGCTTGGAATACTAAAGCAGCAAAGATCTTCAGTTGTGGGTGATCTTCAGGAAGGATCAAGCACAAATTCAACCTTAGGTTTTTCTGGTCCTCTGAAAAAGCGCTTTCCAAACTTTTCCAGGCCTTGGAACCTGTTGATTAAAAAGAAATTCCCTAATCAAGAGACAAAGCTCTAGTGACAGAAGATTGACCGTCACAGTGAACTTTCTTCTTTCTCCATTAAGTTCTCATGAAAAGTTAAAAGAACTCCTTGTGAAAAACCTTGTTTTAAACCACACTACAGTTCTCTCTGCATTATATAGAAATGGAGAAAAACCATTTTCAAGGGGACGTGGTGGCTCAGTGGCTAAAACACTGAGCTTGTCAATCGAAACGGCGGCAGTTTAGCGGTTCGAATCCCTAGTGCCGTGTAACGGGGTGAGCTCCCGTTACTTGTCCCAGCTTCTGTCAACCTAGCAATTCGAAAGCACATAAAAAGTGCAAGTAGAAAAATAGGGACCACCTTTGGTAGGAAGGTAACAGTGTTCCGTGCGCCTTTGCTGTTTAGTCATGCCAGCCACATGACTACGGAGACGTCTTCGGACAACGCTGGCTCTTCAGCTTTGAAACGGAGATGAGCACCGCCCCCTAGAGTCAGGAACAATTAGCATGTATGTGCGAGGGGAACCTTTACCTTTTTAAGGATGCAAACCTGGAGTTTTGTACTAATGCCCATCAGCAGCTCAGTTACGGGATCTCATATTTGCTATCAATGGCAATAATCCTAAATAGTCAGAATTTGCAGCTTTATTCAGTGCTTATTGTTTCAGTTTGTTATACAGTATGCCTTTTTTACAGTGAGATGGCTTAATAGCAAAGTATAAATTTAATGAAGCTGGAAGTAAGTGACATAGAATGACTCATCTGCTAATTCTTCTGCTTTCTGTACATGTCCTCAGAAAAACATAATGCTGACTGTTGCTGAAAGGCTGGGGATCCGAACTAGAGATGAATCCAGGGCTTTCTGAATCAGGCCAGCAAGCTGCCCCCCACACCTTAACTAAGGATCTCCCCAGGTAACTTACTTTCTTTTCTTTTCTTTCTTTCTTTCTTTTTTTTTTTTTTGGTGCCCTTGAGAAATGTTGAGCGAGGTTCTCTATCTGGAGCCATTTGAAGAACTCACCCACCCACCCAATTTCTCTGCCCACATATTTGGGGACAACTTGGCTCCTGTTGTTCTTGTCGTTATACAGTGAACTGTTTCTATGAGTCAGATATGTTCAGCAACTTAGTGAGATGAAGAAACAGAGATCCAGAATGGTAAATGCTTCTAAAGCTGAAAGGAAATGAATTACCAGCTGTGATTAATGTTTCCTATAATAGCTGTGTCAATATTTGGTGCACGTGGTCAAATTCTCATTGCTTCTTGCATACATCATCTTGCTTAGGAGATGGAACTGCCTGAAAGTACTTGTTTGTGTACCAGTTTGTCCCATAGTCAGTGCTGCCCATCCCAGCAGGCGTCCTCCTTTCCAGAGACCTTGGGAGGGGCTGATGTCTAGTTGCTTTTTAAGTAATTAATAATTTGGAGTGGAAAGTAAGCAGAGGGCTTGCCTAGTTTTTTAAGTTGGAGGGAAGCAATTTCACTTTGTATTCCATACACACTCACACACACACCGTGGGAGTGAGAAGCTGCTCCCAATCTGCCTGGGGTTCAGGCCTCTAACTTTTGGAGACTTATGTTTCAGGGGAAGGTGAGGCTCCCAACCTACTACTTAAGTGAAAGTTGAAAGACAATGTATTTTAATGAGGGGGAAAAAAGGGCAACACTATTACTTGAATATCTGCCTTGTTTCTTTGACAATCATGTTATGTCCTTAAGTAAGCAAAGGCACACCTTAATTGTTATACAGATGTTTGATTAAATGTGGGAATCTCATTATCGTTCTACTGTATATTCTCTAAAAGCAGACTGAAAAGATCAAAGCCATGAGTTGTAGAAACTGGAACTTAAAAGCGAGTGATGTTTGTGGTGCTTCTTTAGCTAGGCCTGTGTTCAGCAGACCTAAGTATTTGAACCTTAGTTCTGCTAAATCTTTCCTGAAGCCTTGGGCCTGATTTATTGAGCCAATGCAATAAATTGTCAGCCAAGCACAGTTGTCAGAAACTTTACAGGCTTTGAGATTCCACACACTTTTGACTAACCAGAGTATCAAGACTCTAGGCCTGATATTAGTCATGCCTGATCTAATTTTTGGTTCCTAATCCATTTCCGTTCAAAAAAGAGACTTTATTGGATCTATGTTATTAGAAAAACAGGAGAAAATGATGCCATAGATCCAAGTTTTAAATGGCTTTTCAAGCTAGCAGCCAAATGTAAAAAATAACTTTCCTTGGGAACACCAATTATGTTATTCTTATTTGAACATATGCTATCAGGTGTTTGAGATATTTTTTCCTCCTCCAGTGCTACAGTTTAATAAAAAATAACTCAGTGCAGAGTTTATACTTTGCATGTTGAAGGTTCCAGATTTGTTTCTTGGGACCTCTGTTGCATATAGAGTTCTGAAAAACAAAGATTGCGGAAAGCCTTCTATCTCTGGGGAGTTGCTTCAGTAAGAGTCAATAATAGTGAGTTGGTTGTTCCAGTGTTTTGACTCAGCATGAATTATATTATCTAGAGCTTGATCATTAGTGCTCTTCACCCTCATAGATTTTCCAAAAGATGCCGTGAATCTTTAATTATTGCTATGTTTGGAGTAAACAAACACAGAAGTGGAATGGAAAGGAATGGTCATTGGACAATTTGTGATGAGAAAGTCAGATAGCTACCGAGGCAGTTCTTGCTGGTAATATGACCCAATGGCTAGACAAATCACTGTGGGTGTATGTTTCAAAGTAGCTCCTTAGAGAAGAGACTTTTTCGGCCTAAAATGTTTTCTTAAAGCTGGTATGGCCTGAAAAACAGATCCCTCTCCCATCCCTCCTATGCATGGAAGGTCTTGGTGTCTGAACAAGAATAAGGAATCATAATTGACGTGCAAATAATCCTACATGAGAAAGGAAGGGGTGGTACAGCAGCTTGCTGCCATAGCAGGACACCTCTTCTCCTTCTGCCCTCTAACAAGCAGATGCCAATCTTCCCATAGAGATTGGTGTTTTGAACAGGAAGTTTGTACTGCGAGTCACACCACAGCCGTGTCCTTAGTTAACCCACATTTCTCTCATAGTTGGCCTAATGTGGAAATAATAACACTGACCTACCTTGCAACACCACTGCAAGGATGATTCCAGAGATAATAGGCATGAAGCGTTTAGATAGTGACTGATCAACAGTTCTAACTCCCCTGACTTTCTCACAGCAGATGGCAGCATGTAGCCGACCTTGATTGATCTCAGAAAAGCTGCACAATATCAGAACCTGATTAGTTCTTGAATAGACTATTGAGGCTGTAGGCCACATTGCGAAGTTAAAGAAAGAAAGAATCCCCAGAAGGTAGTAGTAGCAAATCTCTTGTATATTGTTATCACTGGAAGTTGAACTTGATTCATGGAAGACTTTATCTTAGACATTTTTCCATATCTCTCAAGCTTTGTTCCGTATTTCTCAAATATCAAGTTGTCTGAGCCTTTTAAACAAATATGTGCAAAGCCCCTTGGATCTGATTTCTTCAGTGCTGGTGGAGGAAGATCAGGTATTTCTGGGGAGAGATTTGCATCTAGCCAAGTTCAGGGATTCCCATGGTTATTGGACCATTTGTGTGCAGTGCTTAATGAAGTACCTGTGCTGGTATAGTAACGCCTAGCCAGTATCTGGAATTATAAACACAATGAAGTTTATGACCCAGCCAAAAAAACCCTCAGACCATTATGAAGTGGATGTGATACAAAGGGGTACCTGAAAAACAACCTTGGAGGCTTCTGCAAGGGAGGCTGTCCCTGAGCCCTAGATAAGGCAAGAGTGACAATAGAGTCATGGAGTGGCAGTGAATAAGGATCAACAGAGTGGAACTAGTTTCCTTTCTCTTTTGGCCAAGACAAATGTTTTTAAAGAGCAGTGAGCAATGCTAGCATTTGCATTTTCTATGGCAACCTTCCCCAGATTTATTGGGACTACCACTGTAAGAATACCCATCCAACATGGGTGTCTGGAGCGAAGGCTGATCCAAGAGCTGATGTATTTAAATGTATATACTGTGATGCCTGTCCAGAGGGATGTTTCTGTACTGTGGTTCTTTAAAAAGATGCTTGCTGTTAGAGTGCGAAAGCTCCCAATCATATGTACACATTTCATCCTTAAGTCTTTTGTAGGATTGGTGGGACTTCTTTTCCCTCCAAGGGAGGAAAAAAACCTATTCAGTGCGCTTTCGGAGACACCGGAAACATATCAGTTCTCAATCCTAGGAACAGAAGTGGTATGCTTGCCTATTGATCTTTCAGTTGGAATCGCTCAGAATTTGCCATTTTGAGAAAGAGCCTGTTGCAAGGCCTCAACTAAAGAGGTGACAGAGCAGATGGTCAGATTCTGAACATACCTGCTGCCTTGAAATTTAAGATAGACCAAGAAGTTTTGCCTTCCAATTATTAATGACCGCAGAATTAGAATAGGGCCCATAGAAAGAAAATGATTTTCTTGTGCAGGCCTGAGATCCAGACTCTTGTAAAAATCAATAAAACAAGAAACATACCAACACCATGATCTTGACATTAAAACGCTAATCCGTTAAAAGGCCTCTGTGAATGTTTTCTAACTCCAGTTGCCCTGATTCGGGCAAACTGGTAGTGGCGGCGGCAGGAGGCTCCGCCCACCCATCCAGACGTCATCACAGACCCTCTGCGCATGCGCAGAAGCGCTGTGCACGAGCAAAGTGAGCACTTGCGAGCACGCGCTCACAGCTCCGCAATATGACCTGCAATAGGCACTCTCAGAGGGGGAGGGTGACCTATGGGGAAGGAGATAGCCCCTGTAGTAGCTAGGACCTAAGCAGGGGTGAAATCCTCCCAGTTCGGACCGGATCGCCCGATTCAGTAGCGATGGCAGTGGGTGGTTCGGAGAACTGGTAGCAAAAATCCCTGTGCGCCCTCCCCCCCCCCCACCATGCCCAGCTGAGCCGCACGATCATCAGAGGCTTTTTTTTAACTTTTAAAATCATTTTTTCTACAACCTCTTCTGAAGAAAAAATGCTTTTAAAAGTAAAAAAAAAAGCGCCTCTGATGATCACATGGCTCAGCTGGGATCATCAGAGGCTCTTCAAAGCATTTTTTTCTGCAACCTCTTGGCCAAAGAGGTGGTAAAAAAAATGCTTTGAAAAGTCTCTGGCAACTCCCAGCTGAGTTGCCTGATTGGCAGAGGCTTTTCAAAGCATTAGAAAAAATGCTTTGAAAAGTTAAAAAAAAAAAAAAGTTGGCCACGCTCACCCAGTCACATTAAACCCACCCCCCACCAAGCCACGCCCACAGAACCGGTAGTAACAAATTTCACATTTCACCCCTGGACCTAAGCTTTATACTGTACATCATCCTGGACTTTGCATGAAACAAAATGCTGCTGTCCCTAACAATTCATAGTTTCAAACTATTGCCATTTAGTTCTCTACAAAAAAAATATGGCATACAAAACTGCATGTACTAGGAAGAAATGTACATGAAAATATGAATCTTGATAAAAATAAAATGCACTGTTGAACATTTCTACAGAAGAAAATGTTTTTTCCCCAGACTGCAAATTAGGAAAATTGAATATGCAAAGATACTTATGTAAAATATATACTTTCATTTAGCTTTTTTTTTTCAAGTTACAAACTGATGCAGAAACAGGATAAACTGAATTTCAGGTAAGACAAATGTAAAAGTGTACTGAAATTGTCAGGTTTATGCCTCCCTAAGCTTGTCAGCACAAATCAGCAAAGAACTTAATTATGTGTACTCGAACATGATTAATTTGGTCCAACCATGCAGCCATTTCCCATAAAACAAGCAATGTCATGTAAATGAGGCCATTCTTTTGGAGATGTCCACGTTAATTAGCCAGAATGTAGGAAGCAAGGCTTAGGTTTTTCAGCTGAGGAACCGGCTAGCAACTATCTCAAACATCTCCATTAATTCAAAATATTGCTTTAAAAACAAAAGATGAATTCTGAGCATTGGGGATGGGGGGGGGGGCTGGATTATTTTACAGGGAGATCTCTTCAAATGATGGCCATGTTGATGAAGTGAGATGAGCATACTTAATGCCTCTATTCCCTCACCTGTTGTTCATTGGTTTTTCACCTGCTGTTTTAACAATAGCCTGATTTGTATGTCTTTTTTGTCTCCAGATTTCACCTAGTTGATCCTCAGTTCTTCGGTTCCAAATAAACTCATTTCTGGTGGACTCTTATCCAAATGTCCTCTGAGAGAGACCTCCCCAGGGAGGCACCTCGGTAACCAGCCATGGGAAGCGTCTACACGTACTACTTCAACAAGGACAAAATCTTCCAGCACTACAACTATACTAAGGATAAGCTGGAGAAAGATGAGTCTCCACTGACTCTCATTGCCACTCTCACCATTGTGCTCTGCTGCTTCATTATCCTGGAGAACCTGCTGGTGCTCATATCCGTCTGGAGAAACAAGAAATTCCACTCTGCCATGTTCATCTTCATTGGCAACTTGGCTTTTTCGGACCTCATGGCTGGCTCGGCTTTCATAGCCAACATCGTGCTCTCAGGCCCAGCCACCTTTCGCCTCACTCCAATACAGTGGTTTGTGCGAGAAGGCACTGCTTTTACCACCCTGGCCGCTTCGGTCTTCAGCTTGTTAGCCATTGCGATTGAACGACACGTGGCTATCACCAAGATGAAGGTCTACACTAGTGACAAGAACTGCAGGATGCTGATGCTGATTGGGGCCTGCTGGGTCATCTCAGCCACCATTGGGGGGCTACCCATCCTTGGCTGGAACTGCATGTCTGATCTCGAGAAGTGCTCCACTGTTCTGCCCCTTTACTCTAAAAGCTACATTGTCTTTGTGGTTACCATTTTCACTGTCATCCTCTTCTCCATTGTGGTCCTCTATGTCCGGATCTACCGCATTGTCCGCTCCAGCCATGCTGAGATAGCCAGCTCCCAGACAATGGCCTTGCTCAGGACAGTTACCTGTGTCCTGGGGGCCTTCATCATCTGCTGGCTGCCTGCCTTCATCATCCTCCTGATAGACGCTTCATGTGCTAGGAAGTCTTGTCCTATCCTTTACCAGTCAAAGTATTTCTTTGCCTTTGCTACCCTCAATTCAGCCATTAACCCCCTCATTTATACCCTCCGCAGCAAAGACATGAGGAAGGAGTTTCTAAGGGTGCTTTGTTGCTGGGGGATGATGGGGCAGGGAAAGCCAGCAGAGCGTTGCATGATCCCTCTCCGCAGTTCCAGTTCCTTGGAGCGGTGCACTCCAAAACAGGATCTTCCCACTTTATCTTTCATGAAGGAACATTCCACGTTTGTGTGAAAAGGACACCAAGAAAGGAACTGTGGCGCAGCCAGGCAATGGCAAAGAATGGTGGGTGGGATTGGACCCAAGAAAGCGGTACAAACCTGATAAATATATTGGTGGTCAAATCAACCTGCCTTGGACTTACATGGTGGTATCCATTTGTTCACTAAGACCTGCACAGTATTATGATTTTATGTTAGGAGTGTGTGTGTGAGACAGAGTGATTGGCTGATGAATGGCTGAGTGACATGAAGTGGGGAGGCCGGGTAGCTGCTGAGCTACCAAGACTCTGATTTGGTACGATTCTCCTCTTTTCTAAAAGTTGCCCTTGCCTGTGTATAGACCCACAATTTTTTTTTTAACCTGCATCTCCGAGCCATTCATTCTCCTCTTTGCACAAAACATCCACCTACTCTTCCCTGGAAAGCAACTAGTTGCTTGGATCAGTTAGGCCATTTGCAAGCTTAGTTGATTTAAACCAATCTTCAATTTGAGGCACACAAGATTACAAGGGCTCCTAATCCCAACCCCTTGAACCCTCTGGGTTACCTGTCTAGAGGTAGTCCTTGACTTACAACCGTTCATTTGGTTGACTTGACTTGCAACCATTCAAAGTTACAACAGCACTGGAAAAAAAGTGACTTATGACCTTTTTTCAGACAACCGTTGCAGCATCCCCAGAGTCACGGGATAAAAATTTGGATGCTTGACAACTGACTCGTATTTATGATTGTTGTGATGTACCGGGGTCACGTGATCACCTTCTGATAAGCAGAGTCAATGTGGAAGCCAGATTCACTTAACAACCATGTTACTAACTTAACAACTACAGGTATTCATTTAATATCTGTGGCAAAAAAGGTCATAAAATGAAGCAAAATTCACTTAGCTGTCTTGCTTAGCAACAGAAATTTTGGACTCAATTGCAGTCGTAAGTCAAGGACTACCTATAGTGACTGAAGTTGAAGACAATCATATCTTTAGAAGCACAGAGGGTATTTTGATTATACTTCTGCTGCTGAAAATATGAAATATCTGGTTCTTTACTTTCTGAGGGGAATGCAAAGGCTGGTTCCAAAGATGTATGTAAGTATTTTTGGGCACATGTCTAATGTCTATGACATCACAGATGCCAAAATATATGTTCTCTTCATCCTTGCCAAGACACTTTTACCATTTTTTTAAAAACCATCATCTTCCTCTGCTGTAGCCTGAAAGCCAAAAAAGTTTTGAAATTTGTTTTTTTTTTAAATGGCAAAGGTTATACATATTGATTAAATAAATGCACAAAAATGCATAATGAGCTTTTGTGGAAAGTGAAGAGAAATAATTGCAAAATTATCATAAACCCTACTAAATTTGTTCTTTCAGTTTTTCATATTTTTTCACTGAACAGAATGCATTTACATTCTCCAGGATAGGATTCACATCTGGCTTTAAAAATGTTTTCAAAAGCAATAACAAAGCATTTCTCCACCTTTCAGTAGCCACCCCTTCCCCTTCCTATCCTGAAGTAGGTTTCCGATTTCCTTCCTTAGCCTTGTCTTTTTGAAGCTACACTGAGATATAATCATACGAGCAATTAAGGGGATATTTTTCTGAAAACATCACATGCACAAGCAATCTGGATCTGTAGGCTTGTGTTCTACACTGCTCCCTTGTAGTAAGTATGAATAGACTTAATGCATATTAAGAAAGAGTGGACTTAAAAAAACCAATGTTTTAAATGAGAGAGGGGAGATTTCTGTTTTATTTTATTCTTTCACTTAAAAGTTACTGAAATAAGACTGGCATTTCCTAGAACACTTGGTGGAAAAAAAAACCCTCATCAATGTATGATCGCTGTTATTTTATGTTTTCAGCATGGATGTCATTATCAGTGATGATGTCATTTTATCACTGTTATGTTATTAGTCATTAATCCTTTTGATCTTCCTTCAGGAGTCAAAGAAAAAAGTTTTAATATGGACAGATTTTAATCCATCTTGCAGATAGGCAGTTTAGGTACTATTGACATGCCCTGGTTTGGCCAGAGATCTACAGGCAAATGCCAACTTCTTAATTTATTAAGATGCAGTCCGGAGGAAGTTTGCCTGCAGAAGCATGATTGAAATGAATGGAATTTATACTATTCAAACAGGAGCACTTATCTACTCTAAGCCTTTTTTAAAAAAAAAAAAAATGTGAGGAAGACCAGCTTCTCTCTTTCTATAATGCAATAAAATTCAGGAACATTAAATATTTATAACCAAACAAATACAAATAATAATAATCAGACCAGCAATTTTGGAACCACCATTTTCATAGGTTTTGACTTTGTCTTGCAGCTCTATAGGACTACTAGAGGAAAACTTTCTTGAAGCAGGTTTCCCATTCTCTCTCTAGGGACCTGTTTCCTTTCCAGGATCAATACCCTTGTACCACATTCAGGTAGTCCTTGACTTAATAACAGTTCATGTAGTGGCCGTTCAAAGTTACAACAGTACTGAAAAAGTGACTTATGACAAGTTTTTCACACTTACAACCATTGCAGCATCTCCATGGTCATGTGATGAAAATTCAGGTACTTGGCAACTGACTCATTTATCACGGTTGCGGTGTCCAGCGGTCATTTGTGACCTTCTGACAAGCAAAATCAATGGGGAAGCCAGATTCACTTAACAACCATATTACTGACTTAAGAACTGAAGTGATTCGCTTAACAACTGTGGCAAGAACACTCACAAAATGGGGCAAAACTCACTTAACAAAAGAAATTTTGGGCTCAATTGAGGTTGTAAATCAAGAACTACATGTACTGTTTAAGAGGCATTGACAGGACATGGGTTCCTAAAATCTCCCAAAGCTTCTTAAACTGGAATTGCATGTATGCCTACACAAAAATAAGCCCCATTGCACTATAAATTTAGTTTAACACACTCCCAGTTTGGCATACAGCTGCCTCAATGAACTGAGTAAACCAAAGCTCATAGTAGGACGGTACCTCAGGGAACAAAAGCACTGTTAAGACATTACATGCTTAGAGAACATCTTATCCAAAGTCCTTGTCAGTTCCTATGTGCTTTTGGAGAATGGAGCTCAAAGAAGCCTCATCTTAATATTCTGGACATCCCTTCTCAGATTATGCAGTAGTGGACTAAATTGAAGATCGGCAGTTAGCACCTTTAGAAACAAATATGGCTGTGTCATCAGGATCAAGTCCCCAGGTTCCAGCCCACTGGCAATAGAGGTAATCTGATGGTGGCAACAGGATTTGCTGGCAATTCATGTTGAAACTGTATGACCAACCCATGGTTCGTCCCTTTTGAAAGAAATGGTGATGTGGAAGACTGACCTAGAGCTGCATTTGGCAGCAACTTCTAGTTATTCCCCTGATCCCCTCCTGCCCCCCCCCCCCCAGGACACTAATTCCGAGAGAAAATTTTGCATCGGAATAATCATCAGCCCTAAGCATTTGTGTGAAGTTAGGTTTGTGCACAAATGCAGTCCTATCTTAAGTATCCCTGTCCCAACTTGAAATTCCAGTCTGCCACAGAGGCTTTCTAACTTCTATCCCAATGACAACAACAACAATCGAGCTGTAATGTGAGAACAAAGAAGTGCTGGGGGGCTTGCAGGGAGTGGATTTCTGAGGTTGGGGCATCTCTAAGAGAGAAGCGATGAAAAGCAGGAAAAGTGGCAATGCCTTCAAGGAGAAAGCCAGAAGTGGGTGTTTCCTGCTTGCATAGCTGGTTCCAGCCTGGAACCGTGATTCACCCAGCATGATGTGTAGGAACATGCCATAGGAGGGTGAGAGGAGGATGTTTTTATGAATCGGAATGAGATGCAGGCGTGGGAATCATTTCCCTCCTCGGGCACAGGCAGTGCAGTCCAAAGTTCTAGAGGTAATTTAAAGAACCTGCCGCCCACACTTTCTTTGCTCCAGAATACAGCCATGTTCTGGAGGAGCGAGTTCCTGCATACACTCATTTAGCAATCACAATTGGGACCAGCAGTTGGTCAATAAGTGAAGCCATTGCTAAGTGAGACTGCAAATATGTTCATGATCTTACTGCAACTTTCCTTTGCAAAGGTCGTAAATGCAAGAATTAATCCTAATCACCATTGTAACTGCAAATGATTCCTAAACAAGGAGATGTTACAAACAACAGGTATAGGAAAGGCAAGGAAAAATGTGCAGGGGTAGAGTAACAAGAACTATGAGTTACCTTCCTGTTGCTATACCTTTAGCAGTTAAGCAAATTATATGAGGAATTATTTAAATAAAGTAGGATAATCAGTCCATCATTCATTCATTCATTCATTCTCTCCCCCCCCCCCCAATAAGTACATTGTTGGCCTGCCTGCTCTAAAGTAAGTCCCATTAGGTTCAATTAGGATTGAACCATAATTCAATTTATGTCAAATCTTGCAATCTTAAACTATGAAACCATGTATGTTTATGCTGCTTGTCATCGTCATGAAGTATCACCATGTTTTTGCTGTATATGTATGTGTGCGTGTAATTGTTAATATGGGAGTGCCAGTTGATGTGGATATGTGACATAGCCTCTCTGTGAGGTATTCCTGATGCCTGTATTGACATCAATATGCAGTGATGTAAATGTCACCCATATCTACACTTAGGCTGGTGTCTAAGCCTATTTGTCTTTAGGTGAAGGGGCATGGCGTAATGCCCATCTTTGGCAAGAAGGAGCTCTGCTGCCCCATTTCTGTACGCATGAAGGGATTCTATACACCAGATGTCTGGCTCTCTCTTCCTTTGATTAGAGTTTGTACTTGCCTTCTCTGTTTCACTCCTTCTGTGTGTTCAAATCTGGGGTAACACCTTTGGCTGCTTTCCATCAGAGACTGATCAGTTCCTCCTTTATTGGGAGGCAGACCCCTCCCAAGCAACAGACTCCATTCACTTCTTATCAATAACAATCACGTTTCCATTGATTGCAGGTGATCTTGAAAGGGAAAATACAAGCAAAATTGCTTGCTGATATTAATATTATCAAGAATTTAAGGTGACAGAGAACAAGTATTGCTCAGGCTGTGACCATTTAATTCACTGTTATTTCTGCTGGTAGATTTTCCAAGGTCTTGTAGGGCTTCCAAAATCTATAAAAACTTGTTTTAGTAGAGCAAAATGGATGTGTATGTATTTGTGTGTTTGTATACATCCTCATAAGTAATATTGGTTACCTTAAATTATCCATCCTTTACTATTATCTCCATTCCCAATCCCTGATTAGTTGAGTTGCTATACATACATTACAAATAGAACAATTTGTGTTTTGTGTATGTTTTGAACCAATATACCAAGATTTCCTTATCATTTGAATTTTGTACATTTCTGAATTACTGTTTTAAAAATGCACTTTTTCAAATTTTGTGGTGCCACAAGTTTGTACATATTCGTTTATGCATATATTCATGAAAATGATGTACGCAAATTTATCATATTAAGAAAGTTTGTTTGCAGAAGCTATGTAACATTAGGCAAAATCATCAACCAAATGCAACCAAAATTGGATAAATGTTTACCATGCTACATTCAGTTTTTGATGGAAACTTGGAAAAAAATCTCCTCAAGTTTGACAAATCAGACTTGACCAATCTGCAAAAACCAAGAATCAGAGCTGACAAAATTATAAAAATCAAGTCTGAGAGAAAATGAAATATTTCCCTATCTGTTATAATCTATGCCCAAATTGAAATATACCTATACGTTCATTCTATGCTAAATATCTCTGTGGCTCATTGTTTTCCTATTCCATCCACATAATGAATTGTAGCAGTTCCTTCATATGCTGCTTTACTGACAATCACCCTAATACTGAATAGTGGTTAAATCTGGACCTCAAGTTCTAAGTCCCCTCTTAGGGATGGGAACCATTGGATGACCTTGGACCAATTACTCTCCCTCAACCCAGCCTACTTCACTGGATTATTTTTGTTGGAAAAACAGGAGGGAGCACACTTATGTTGTTTTGAATTGTACAATATTAAGGGGGGGGGTATAAATTAAATACAGAAAGGCTGGAAACAAAGCTAGCACACTTGAACTTGCAGGTGGCCACTTTGTAGATATGCCTTTAACAGGAATAGCATGCCCCACTCTTGAGTGCAGCAAACCTGCAGTCAGAGGGGCTCTTTCAGTGGTGGGTTCCTCCCGGTTCCGCCGAGCCGGTAGCAGTGATGATATGACGTCACCGAACCGGTTCCCCCCCCCCGTGACCCCCGCGTTATTCTTACCTTTTATTTGGCCCCACCCCCAATCTATTGCTGCCTCCTGAGTCCCAGCTGATCAGCTAGAAGGAAAAAAAAATGTTTAAACTCGCAGTGTTTAAACACCACAGGCAGTGTGGTGGTAGACCTGTGCCTCCAAAAACAAATGAGTAGACCGGTGCCTGCAAAAATAAATGGGTAGACCGGTACAGCTCTGCAAGCAGTTAAAAGCCTGGTAGACCAGTACCTCTGCTAAATCCTAAAGAATTGTCACATGACCATCAAGCCATGCCCACAAAATAAGCCACACATGCCCACAGAACTAGTAGTAAAAAATTTTAGAACCCACCCCTGGGCTCTTTTATAGTACAGAGATGACAGTGTAGCAAAATGTAGGGATGGGGAGGGCATGGAAAGATCTTGTGGTATGCCAACTAACCTAATCATAATAAATTTCCAAGCTTCTGTGCAATCACCGATGATTTCAAACAGTTAAAAGACTATTTACAATGTATGGTATACATTCTGTCTATAATAGAGGCTGAAGAGTCGGAAATTCCTGGGCTGGTCTGTGGAGCAAACTTTACCCTAGCAAATGCAGCGAGGAGCATCCATCATTCATACCACCATGTTTCAGTCTCTCTTTGGCACATACACTAAATGGGACAGCCTTTATCCCTGCAGAATCTTGCCTGTGGAAACACTAACTTTTTTTAATACACACACGCATACACACACACACATACAAACTCTGCCTCTTAATGGATATACGTGTGTATTAAAATGTTTGCTTCTAAATTGGGCCCTTGTGCATTTTTCTCCTTGTGCACATTAGATACACTCATATGGAAAAGCAATAAGGAAAGGAGGGAGGAATTAGTGGTCTAACAGATGATCCTTTTTCTTTATTTGCTTATTTTATTTTTAGACCATCGCATTCCACTGTTCAAAGCACTGAACAGTGAAAACCAACTATAATAAATAATTGTTGCAGGCAGTTTAAATATAATAAATATAGTATTTATGATATGAATAGAAGTATTCTCCATCAATGGTTGCACCACCAGCTAAGATTACTAAGAATTGTACACCAGCAACATCCAGAAGACCCATGTTTTCCCGCCTTCTGATGATAGGTAGGAAAATATAGCCAACCTTCTAGGAGTATAAAATATTCAAGGACAGCCCCCCACACACATACTACCCCTTACCAAGGGACTCCTTTTTATACAATACTGGAAAGTGCATCCCTTATAACAGGGATCTCCACCCTTGGCAACTTTATGACTTGTGGACTTCAACTCCCAGAATTCCTCAGCCAGTGCATGCTGGCTGAGGAATTCTGGGAGTTGAAGTCCACAAGTCAAAGTTGCCAAGGGTGGAGACCCCTGCCTTATAATATATGTGCTATGAAAATGTGGGAAAGTGCTGATTTTACATATAGATTATGAAATACAGTAACACGTAGGGTAGAAACTAAGCGTGTGTTTCAAATACTAAAAGCAATTGTAAAAATCTTGGGTAGCAATCGTCATAATACAAGTATACTCAAGCCAATGTGACTTTCAGAGGTGAAAATGCTTAGAAAGCATTGTAGAATCCTTAGAATTGTAACTTTAAGGGGCTCTGATGCTGGAGAATCCAAGGAATCTAAAACTCTGTCATTGTTCACCAACATGAGCAATTTATAAAAATGATAAAGGCAGGGTACAAATTAAATTAATAATAATTGTGAGGTAAGTAGGCAAAAAAGGGCAATTCTTCCTATCTATGTTCTGGTTTCCTGGTCAGGAAAAAGATTTTTAATGTCCTCCCCTACTAGGGATTATTGTTATGGGTTGGGATCACTGGATTTGGCATGCTCTTGTTGACCTCTTCTCACAGAAAACTAGCCTTCAAGATTTCCACGGAGAGGAGACAAATGGGAGAAATTTGAAAAACCTTTTCCCAGAGTTGCCCTCTATAGGTTAAAACTCAATTTACTTTATGTTTTTATTCTTTTCAATAATAATTGGTGTGTGTGTGTGTGTGTGTGTGTTTGTGTGTGTGTGAGGAATACCTTGTTAGGTGGTAGCTAAGCTGCTTCTAAATTCTCCATTCTCTTCCAAAAAATGGTATCTCCTTCCATGACACAATTTGAGTAGCACCCCATGTTATTAAAGCTGTACCCCTCACATTTTATAGCACAATGTTCATTGGGGAATGTAGGCAAGTGATTTTGAACTATTCCCATTATTCTTTATTGTTCACTATACAGGCTAAGACAAATTAGTATTTGGAAGACCTTTTTTTTTCTTTTTATGATCCTGTTATCTCTTAATATGGGGTAGAGTCGGGGTGACTGAATGGAGCTGAGAGTTTACTAGTCGAATGCCCTTCCTCACGCCTACATGGAGTTCACAGCAGATATTTTCTCTTTCCACTCAGAGAGAAAAACATCTGCCGCTACCTAGGATTGAACTCTCAACCTTCCGAATGGGAGATGAGTGTCTTCACCACTAGACCACCATGCCACTCTGGAAGACCATACATTATCTACACTTTTACATCTGAAATGGGAAACTGGTTTATATTGGGATGAAAAACCTCCAGCTTCAAAAAATGCTTGCATGCCTAAAATACTTGCATGCATAAACCCACATATAAACCCAATTCTCCAAGAACTTTAATGCAGCAAAGCCTGAGGAAAAGGAAATGCCCCTTCCAATTTTGACTAACCAACCTTGTAACCTTTGCTATTTTTTGACTTTATTTATTCATGACTGTAAAGTCCACAGTGGAGAATCAGAATATCAAGGCAACCCAACTATTACACTGAGAGGATTGTGGATACCTTTGAAGGACTGCATCACAAGGATTCTGGATAGCCCAACCTGGTTTCCATCAACAGAACTGTCACTTTCCATCACTCCCTCCTGACACCCCACACTTTAAACTGAACTTCTTAAGTAAGCCTTCCCAAGGAAAGGAAAGCACAGTTCTCAGCAGGATTTTTACTTAGATCTCTCTAGGGAGACGGGGGCAGTGGGATGTTTTTAAATAGAAAGAGAGACTGTTGCAATCATTTTGTCCCCCTGGATATAATTGTGTTTAGCTCCCACAACCTGAGCCAGAGAAGGGTTTGTAAGGGAAAAATGCAGCATTCCATTTGCTAAGAGCACTTATAAGGAAGGCTATTTCTTCCCTTTTGTTACCCTGAGGAAGGAATAGGATGGAATCAAGGAAGGCAAAAGTCCGACCCAGATATACACTGCAACAATAGGATTCGTAAACTAACTGTAGAGCACACTTTCCAATTTCAACCAATGCACTTAGATTGAGTAGGCCCAAGAAATTCTCAGTGATCTCTGATCAGTCAGTGAAGATAAAGCATAAGCTGTTTGAAGCTTTAGTCTCCTGGCTTGGACTTCAAATACCAAACACCTCAGCAGCAGACATCAGAGATGATGCTGTCTGTAGTCTGAAATCTCTTCAAACATAACAGCTTTAAGTTGTGTGCACTCTCAGAATTCCCCAGTGCTGTCTGGGGAATTCTGGGAGTTAAAACCCACCCATCTTAAAGTGGTTGTGTTTGAAAAACACCATGGAATCCTTGGTGCTCTCTGAGCTTGGTTGTTTTATTGGAGACATTTCATTATCCAACTAGGTAACATCTTCAGGGGCCACTGCTCCAAAAGGGCAGTGTCCCTCAGTTTGAGTCAGCAGAAGGCAACTTTCTCTGTTTCTGTAGCATGAAGCACAACAACAGATTCCTCAAGGAACCATTCAAAGCCATGTTAAAAAGGAAAGCTGAACACTTATTAAAGGAATGTTAAAGTATTTATACAGTCACATATTTTTGTTGTGAGTGAACCAACTAAAATTCTCAGGTTGACACTATGAAAAAGGCCATCATAGCCATACACGTAGGCACCAACTTAGTTTCAAAAAGTTCAGATGGAAAATAAAACAGTCTCCCTCTGGACATCTCTGCAAGAACAAACAGCCCTTTAAGTACCATGAACCAAGAAATTCTGACTGCTCAAGGTATTATTGGCACTCATAAGATCATACAACATTAGCATAACATGCTCCATATAACTGCAATGACCACATCCATATTTTTCAGCAATAACTACAGCAGGGGTGTCAAACTCGATTTCATTGAGGGTCGCATTAGGGTTGTGTTTGACTACGGGGGGGTGGGGCGGATGGGTGTGGCCAGGGTGGGAGTGGCAATCTCAACATCACTCTTGTCGGCGCCTGTGGTGGCCCATGCGCTCTGTCAGTGAAACCAGGCTCCCGAGCTCCATTTTCAGCTGCCACGGCCTGTAACCCTCTGCCAGTGAAAACGGAAGTCATTGTACTTTTCACATTCTTTAAATACAGACGTAAGCCAAGGACTACTTGCATATACAGAGAAAGAGAGAAGCAAAGTCATATTCTAGTGCCCCCCTCCCCCCATGATTTGGCTCATCTTCTAATATTGTTAGGAATTTTTAAAAGGTGCCCTCTACTTACTTTCTTTTTCTTTCTTT